AACATGCAACCCAACAATGAAGCCACCTGCACAGATCCAATAGTCCCTTTGAAGGCGGTAATCTACAAGCAAGGAAGCACTCGTTGTTGACAAGCGGTGCACAAACGGTGCCACATGGACGAGCACTCACCAACAATGGCGTACGCCAACGGCCATCCTCCTCTCAGAGCAACACCTCTACCGCTCAAAATCAATAGTTTCCTGCAGCTGCTTGTCAGCCTTGTAACCCCGCAGATAACTCTGTGTTGGTAACAGTGATATCACCAATCGAGGTACAGCCTGAGTGTTGCTTGAGCCTTAGGCTGACTGCTCTGGATGGCCGGCAAAGAGGAAATGCAGTTAATTTCCACAACACTGGCAGGCAGATCCTCTCGAGCTCGCATCACCATCCATTATGCGATGGATTGTGCCGTCACCTGCATAAGGCTGCTGTGACGCTCTTCCATTGGCGGAGAGAAACGGTCGGCGCTTAAGGATATTTTTATCCAGAGCGTCATTGGGTTCCCTTGTGTCGGGATACGAAAAGGACGGGGGGGATGGATGATTTTGCTATCAATAGAAGTACCAAAATAGATCGCTTGCGGGATGAGTGCAGTGTTAATTTGGGGATTTGGGGTGTTGTTGTTCGTGGTGATTGTGATGTTGTCATTCCCCTCTTTTGCTCTGGGGGCATTTATTATCCCAGTCCTCGTCCACGGCCACTGTGCCTACTTCTGACGGAGAAGAAGATTCCTTCTCAGCCTGCGCTAGAACAAGAAACCTTGATTGAACTGCTATCATCATGGGTGTTCTTCGTTTGCCTCGCCCGATGGGCATCTATGTCCCCAACTCTCCCACCCGCAGCCTCACTACGGATATGATTTCCTCGCCTCTGTCTCCCGGCTTCAACTTCGATTGCGAAACGGTCACGCCTTCCATCATCCCTGCTCTGGACTACATCTCCTCCAAGCTCCAACAGAAAATGATGCACGTCACACTGCTCGTCGGCCGGGGAAAGCCCTACCCCACAGGGCAACCGTCCGATCTCATGGTCATCCCCATCGCACAACTCGACCCTCCGTGCTGGCGCACGGTATGCCGCATCGTCGCCAAGGGAGCCAAGAAATTCTCCCTGGGCCAGGGCTGGACCGATGCCCTGGCGCGCAGCCAGTATGAGCGCCAGGCCAACGAATACCTGATCCAGCAATCCATCCTGCAGAACGAAGTCGTCTTCAGCCGCGAGGGTCTGACTCTTCTCAACGTCGACCGCATCTACACCTTCAAGCGCCGCCTCTGCATCCTGTCGAACCGCGACAACGGCCCCGAAGAGTCCTACATCGCCTCCTGCGTGCATCTCCTCCACCGCACCATCCGCGACTTCCAGGGCCGCCCCTTCAGCAAGGCGTTCTTCCACCGCGTCTACGAACAGCTCGATGTCCGCGATGACCTCCTGACGCGTGTGGCAAACGCATACAAGAAAGAGTACGGCCAGGAGGGTATCGTCCTGCCGCCGCGGCCCAAGCCTGAGTATTCGCGGAAATCGCCGATTCGCACCGTCCGTCCGCGCAGACAGCCTACGCCGCCGACCTGCAGACCGGCCTCGGCGAAGAAGGGACCCAAGACCCCTCTCTCGGCCTCTGATGTTACACCCATCACCCGGAGCGAGTGGAACATGTTTGTCAGCTCCGGTATCCGTCAGATCAACCCGACCGTGACCAAGTGGACGCCGTCGCCAACTGTGCTTGCTGCCGCGTGAGCATTCAGGACTGGAAGTTCAGTGACTATACCTTCAACGCATGACTCCAGAGCTACCCTGCAGACGCAGGCACCGACAGCTCGGGGATATCATCAACCAAGGATCTCATCGATCCGCATCTTGCCGGCCGGCAGAGCTCCTCAGCTCCGCGAACCGGCCAAGCAGTCACGAATGATCTATAGCCGTCTGCGGCTAGTAAAGTCTCATCGTGCACTGTCTGGAGTGGAGAAAACTCCACCCACAATCTCATTGACATGTCAGTGGGTTGACAAATCATTCTGACAACAGGCTGAGAATGCCTGACTGTCACTGTTATGAAGCTGGTCTGACTCTAGAGATCGAGTCAGACGTGTATATCTTTGTCTTCTGTCAAGACCCCAATACTGTATATAAAGTGAATCATTAAATGATGAGACGATTTTCCCCATTGATACTATCCACCAACGAGTGAGCAAACATTTATCTTGAAAGTAGAGAGGTACCTCTTTATGAGTGGGACGACCAAATCGGCGCTCTCCGAGTCCGTTCAGTTGCCTACTGGTGGTGCAGTGGAGATCGGCCAACCTGCATCTAAGACAAACCAAGTATCAGTAGCCACTATCTAGATAATCGGTAGACAGATAGACTTGGCGTCGGAATTTGTTATTCGATGAGGAAATATTTCGTCCCAACCTCGCATTCGCGAATAAAGTGGGAGTTGGCCAGTTGACGGTCACCATTGGAATACGGATAAAGCAGGAGTCGAATCACCACCGATTGTCATCGAGGACCTTGCCAGCAAATCTCCCAGAAAGAAGCAAAGACCCTGCCAAACTGCATATGACTGAACTGATCTGCACCCTGCTGCAGAAAAGGTGGAGGACGAGTCACCAGAAGTGAGGATACGACAGCCCCTCCATCTTATCGTTGTCTTATCATTTCATTTTCCCCTCCTCGATTGCGCTGGAAATCGTCATTGTTCAGCTTTCGCCTTTCGTCATTCTACTCTAGAAGATATTGGCGATTGAAGACATACAGAGATACTGGCAGAAACAATACAGCCACTATCGGGTTTTTATGCTGAAGGTCAATCATGCGGGACGCTACTCCCATCGTCGTCGACTCATCGCTCGCAGACGACTCGACCAGCGAAACAAAGAGCAAATGGACTGCCGAATCACTTCTTCGTCGAGCAGAGCGCTCGCATCGTCGGCTGCCGGGCATCCGCAAGATCCCTTTGCCAGCGATTGCAATCATCCTGTTCGTTGCGTTCATTAACGTTGTCGTGTGGATTGCTGCTGCCATTGTGTTGGTATGTCGACATGGACCTCACTCCCCTACTTGAATCTACTAGCTAACATCATGTAGAGATACTATCCGTAGGTCTAGTGACAAGAATCAAGTGCGTGGATACTGACCAGCACAGCTCACTCGTCTCGAATGCGGTTCTGGCATATACATTGGGCCTGCGCCATGCGTTTGACGCTGACCATATATCGGTAAGACCGAAGCAGTCCGTAACTCGGCAGCGCAGCTAACTAACGTATCCAGGCAATTGACTTGATGACTCGAAGATTACTGGCAACCGGCCAGCAGCCCGTCACCGTTGGGACGTTCTTCTCCCTCGGACACTCAACGTAGGTGTCGTTCTAGTCTGTAGGTCAAGGCTTGGGATTGCTCTGACGGGACCAGTATTGTCATAATAACCTCCATCGTTGTAGCGGCCACCGCTGCCGCGGTGTCGTCGCGCTTCGACAGCTTCAGCACCGTCGGCGGGATCATCGGGACCTCGGTCAGCGCCGCGTTCCTGATCCTGCTGGGGCTGATGAATTTTTACATTCTGTACAAGCTCTACAAGCAGATGCAGAAGGTGCTCAACCTGCCTGAAGGGCAGGAGGACGTGGCGTGGAAGATTGAGGGCGGGGGTGTGCTGTTCAATGTGCTCAAGCGCATGTTCAAGTTGATCAATCGGTTTGTGGTATCCCCATCAGATGTGCAAAACGGTCAACTGATAGCTGGTTAGTCCTTGGAAGATGTACCCCTTGGGTATCCTGTTCGGTCTTGGTTTCGACACCTCCTCTGAGATAGCTCTGCTTGGAATCTCGTCCGTAGAGGCCGCTCGCGGGACGGACTTTTGGGTCATTTTGATCTTTCCCATTCTTTTTACCGGTACGTCTGCTTAGTCTACCTGAAGATTCGTAACTAACGACTATAGCTGGAATGTGTCTCTTGGATACAACCGACGGAGCTCTGATGCTCTCGCTCTACATCCAACCCGCGGCCAACTTTCTCCCTCCCAAACGCGACAGCACCTCGTCCGAGACGCCCCTGATCCTCGGCGAGGACCACGAAATCGAACCGTCCCAGAACCACCGCGACCCCGTCGCCTTCCTGTACTACTCCATCGTGCTCACTCTCCTGACCGTCGTCGTCGCCATCGTCATCGGCGTCATCCAGCTCCTCACCCTTGTGCTGAACGTCGCCAAACCCACCGGTAGATTCTGGGACGGCGTACAAACAGCAGGCGACTACTACGATGTCATTGGCGGAGGAATCTGCGGATGCTTTCTCATTGCCGGTGTTCTCAGCGTGGTGCTCTACAAGCCCTGGCGGCGGTGGATCGCGAAGCGGCATGGGAAGAGCGCCGCCGCGGATGAAGAAGGTCGTCCGGATGAGCTGCCTCCGGCTGACCGTGAAAGAGCTGTTCTGAATGAGGAGAGCAATGCCTCTACCGTCAGTTACGGGGCTGTAGGCAAAAGCGCGACATCGCAGGTGGTAGCGCAGCCGATTGATGGACCGACTTCGTGAGTAGTGGAGTCAGCTCACTGACAATATAGACATCATGATTACAGCTCTTGAATTACCTCCTATAGACTAAAACAATAAAAGTAGACTGAGAACCGGTTCAGCTGGAGTAGATCGGGTAATGTGCCCGTATGCCTGAGGCATCAAGTGACGTCAGCTGATTTGGCCAGACGCGGGGACCTTCATCATCCCCAGCTTGAGATGATACCAGTGACTGAAGCGCATCTAATTACAGCTTCACACTCCACATGGATATCTACATACCAGATTGACGGAGTCCGTCTCAAACTAAAGTCGCGACACCATGCACATATGAGACCCACCAACGCTGCCATGCAATCACGACATATTTCCTTATAATATATGCATATATACCACATATATTGGCTACTTGGTTATTATTCAATATCACCAGTCGAGACAGCGAGTCGTCGCTCTCATTATCAGATACCACAAAAGCAATGGATATACACCCCGCGCCATGTCCGATATCACGACATCTTCCTCGCTGAAACATGACCTGAACGAGAGCCCTGATGGGCTCGACCTTTCATCCCTGCCACCTATCTTTGTCCTCGCGACGCACCTCGAGTTGGACGCTCTGCACCAAATCGAAGAGGACCTCGTCAAGCGCGGCGCGCGCTTGACGTACGACATTTTCGAAGCACGACTCGTGCTTGGGAGGATCGGCCAGAAGAAGCGAGCGGCCTTGGAGCTGCGGTCCAGAGGTGTCTGGACTGAGGAGGCCTCTGTCTCTGCTCCTCTGCAGACGAGCCCTGAGCCGCCCGTGAAGAGGCGGCGGGTGGATGTCGTTCAGCCGGGTAAGCAGCCTGCGGCGCAGCTCGAGGATATCGACCTCGGTACAGAGACGGAAGGTGAAGAAGATGGAATGCGAAGCCTGCATGATACACGGACCCATCTGCGGCGGCCGAGGTCGGTATCTCCGGATACGGCGTCTGTGGCCTCGACGCCGTCGCTGACGTCTTCGGTGGCTACTGCTTTGGAGGACCATGAGCAGGCGGATGTGGTGACGGTGGCCAAGCTGGACTGGTTCAGTGAAGTGTTGAGGACTGGCACGCTTGTGCCCCTGGACCCGTATGTGGTTTACCGCGGCCGCAAGACTGCGTCTGAGGCAAGCGCGGAAAAGTCGAAAGGAATACTGGAGCGGGCGAAGCAAGATGCCATGTCGAGGCCGGCGGCTCCACCTCCCACCAGTCGATTCGCATCCCGTCGCTCACGAGAACCGCACGACGGGCCATCGAGCCAGGGCCACCCGCCCAAGCTATACCGACAAACAACATCCGAGAACGACGAAGAGGTCCCCCTGCCTCCACCCCCGGACTGGGTCAAGAACCGCGTCATGTACGCGTGCATGCGGTCAGCACCGCTCCACCCGCCCAACGAGGCGTTCATCCTGCAGCTGGTCAAAATCCGCAAGATCCGCGAGCTCACGCTCGACGAGATCGGCGTCCGCGCCTACAGCACCTCCATCGCCGCGCTCGCCGCCTACCCGTACCAGATCCGGCGGCCCTCCGAGATCCTCACCCTCCCAGGCTGCGACTCCAAGATCGCCGCCCTCTTTGCGGAATTCAAAGCCAGCGAGCACGGCACGCTCGCCGCCGCCGGCGCCCTCGACACCGACCCGGTCCTCAAAACCCTGCACCTCTTCTGGAACATCTGGGGCGTGGGCGCCAAAACCGCCCGCGACTTCTACTACAAGCGCCAATGGCGCGACCTGGACGACATCATCGAGCACGGCTGGGACAGCCTGTCCCGCGTGCAGCAGATCGGCCTGAAATACTACGACGAGTTCCTGCAGGGCGTGCCCCGCCCGGAGACGGAGGCCATCGCCGCCACCATCACGCGGCACGCCAACCGCGTCCGCCCGCACGCCGCCTACGACGGCCGCGGCGTCGAGTGCATCATCGTCGGCGGCTACCGCCGCGGCAAGGAGCTCAGCGGCGACGTGGACCTCGTCCTCTCGCACCGCGACGAGTCCGTCACCAAGAACCTGGTTGTGGAGCTGGTCGCCAGTCTTGAAGCCGAGGGCTGGATCACGCACACCCTCGCGCTGCACATGACCACTTCCCACCGCGAGCAGCAGCCGCTCCCTTTCCGCGGGGATGACGCGGGCAGACACTTTGACACGCTGGATAAAGCGCTTGTCGTGTGGCAGGATCCGCATTTCGAGGACGGTGGCGAGACTGCAGCCGATGATGGCGGAGACACCCCAGAAGGACAGGAACGACAGCGCAGAAAACGCAACCCCAATATCCACCGCCGGGTGGACATCATCATCTCGCCGTGGCGGACGGTCGGGTGCGCCGTGCTGGGCTGGTCGGGCGATACGACCTTCGAGCGGGATCTGCGGCGGTACGCCAAGAAGGCGCACGGGTGGAAGTTCGACTCGAGCGGGGTCAGGGAGCGGACGAGCGGCGGGCAGGTGATTGATCTGGAGCGCGGCGGGGCGACCTGGGAGGAGAGGGAGAGGTTGGTGCTTGAGGGGTTGGGGGTGGGATGGAGGCCTCCGCAGGAGAGATGTACGCGATGATTTTTGCCATACATACGAATTTATGTTACATGAAACGGTACATATGTCATAGCTACTGGACATCATATTCGTATTATCCAAATAAGACAAATATTTAACAGTAGTGTTAAGCATCTGCTCACATCGCTAACCTCCAATCATGACAAGGTTTTTCACATTAACTCGTGGAGAAGAGAGAAGCAAACATAGAGAGGACATGCACAGTCCAGGTAAATAATACAGACATGGACAGGATGGAAATGGACAAGAGAAGGAAAGAATCATATCAAACCAGTGTCCTCGAACTGGTCATTTCGCCGTATCTCCCTCTTCCTCTCGTGGTATCATAAGCATTGACGACTCTCATCTGTCCGCCTTCATCGGCCTGACTGAACGCGTAACCGCGTTGTTTCCGCATGCGCTGCACCTGTCGTACTTTGCGGATCGCCTTCTGGAACTGCTCCATGCGAGGCCGGTAGTCCTGCACGTTGTACTTTTGGATCTCCTGCACATGGTGGTAGTGTTGCGGGTAGTACATTCGCTTGGCGTATTTCCAGGCGTAATCGCGGAGAAGGCAAATGCAGGGCAGGACAACTGCCATCAGGTAGAAGACGGGGGAGCTGAAGAGCCGGGGGATCGTGCCATAGTACTCGGTGGAGAAGCCGATTGCCGGCGCCGCATAACCATATGCCGGAAGAAAAACGAGCCAGATAACCATGGATCCGGGGATGGCAATAAAGTGATATTTCGTCCAGATGTTGGTGATCAATGCCGCTTTGCCCAGGACAGTGGCCAGGACCGCTGTATACAAGGCGGAGCCCCAAACCCAGTGGCCCGCCACCTTACCGTCGCCTTGTGGTAGATCCCAGAGGAAGATCAGCTGAGAGACGATGTAAAGCAGCAGCGAGTGGTAGAACCCGTTGGCGATCCACGACCAGAAGCTGTGTCTCTTGAAAAACATTCCCTTCTGTCCAAGCTGGTATAGCTGTGGATAGCGATCGAGCAGACGGGCAGAGATGAACTGGTCACAGATCCCCATGACAAACGGAGGGAGAACAGTGAAGAAAACATTGTAGAAGGAGAGGGTCCAGGATTCGTAGATAACTTCACCCGAGAAAGCATTTTGGAATGAGTACTAATTCAGTCAGTACAAGAGAACAAAGCGTCTGCACGAGGTTGCTTACCCAGAATTGAGTCATGTAAAGGGTGATATTCTTGTAGAAGGAGTATAGAATGACTCGACTGATACGGTGATAACTCCAGGCACCGTGAACAAGAAGCAGCTTCCGGAGATAACGGAATTGGGCAATAGAAACGTCCGCGGACCGGGCAGCTTGAAGACCTTCGACACCACTGATACCGACGCCGACATGGGCTGCCTGGATCATCGAGACATCGTTGGCGCCGTCACCGATGGCAAGGAGCAAAGACTTGAGATGCCGTTTAACCAGCTTGACGACCAAAGCCTTCTGAAGAGGGGATACACGACTATGAAAGGAATCAGTTGGAGACCGAGTAAAATTGAAGCGCAAGACTTACCAACAAACCACTGCTTTACACATGACCGCCAGGTCCAAGAACAATTTCTCCATGTCCTTCTCCAACGCAAATGTTAATGATCGACCATCAATGATGAGAGCAAGAGCCTCGATCTCGCCAGATGTGCCCTGGCTCTGAACAGCCTGGAGCTTTTTGGTCAGGTTATCCCGCGTGGCTTGAGCGTTATCCTCGTTGACAATCAGTAGCGTCATGTCTTCCGAAATAAGCTTGCATGACATGCCGATGTTGATTGCGGTTTCTTGTCGGTCACCGGTCAAGACCCAGATCTTGATTCCAGCCGTCTGCAGCGTGTGGATGGTATCCGGGACGCCATCCTGCAGTCGATCCTCAATAGCCGTAGCACCAAGGAGATAGAAGTCCTTCTCAATCAGCTCTGCAGCTTTGTCAAGCTCATCAGCACGATTGCCTCCGACTGTTGTTGCAGCCTTCTCATAGATCTGTATCCACTGCTGATATTCTTCTTCTGGGATCTCCCGCATTGCGAGGCACAGTGTCCGAAGACCCTCGGATGCGTACTCCTCGAGATGCTGCAGAGTGGCTTCCACAATAGGGTTATCGGGCCCCAATCGTTCGAAAATAACAGTGTCCGCACCTTTAGTGTAGATGCGAATCTTCCCATCCGGGCAGCGGAAAATGGTCGACATTCGTTTTCTCGTCGAATTGAACTCGCAGACCGCAAGCAACTCGTACTCGAACTCTTGACCATTTGTCGTGAACAACACGGATCGTGGCCGTCTGTTAGTGAAGCGATAGCCCAGCACGGCGGCACCCTCTACCAAGGCACCTTCGTCAGGAGAGGCGGCTTGGTACTTGATCTTGTCGGGGTCTGCCGCATTTCTTTCGGGAATGACTGTATGGCAGGTCGCTAGAAGTGTGAGGAAGTGATGTATGGCATCAGCGGACGGATGAGACTGCAAGTTCTCCTTGAGCTTTTTGAAGTCGTAGATTCCAGCTTCGGCTCCGTCATCAGCTGTAGCTCGGCGGTCTTCAGGTACTTCGTCACCATACTGCACGCCGTAGATGCTACACTGCTTGAATTCCATCTGGTTGCACGTCAAGGTTCCAGTCTTATCGGAGAAGATATACTCAATCTGCCCGAGCTCTTCGACAAGCGAAGACGTCCTGCAGGTGGCAGGAGTGTCGGTCTTGTCGTAGTAAATGTCAAGGTCAGAATTGATCAGGAACGCCTGTGCGTACTTTACGATTTCGATGGTGACAAAGAGAGAGATGGGAACAAGGTTGGAGTAGAGAACCCAGTAGGTGAAGATGTCGAGCACGAATTGCTTGACCGGACTCGTACTGCCGTAGTAGAGATAGATAAGCTTATTGGCCTGAGTTTGTCGAATGATGAGGTCCCCGACGGAGCTGACCACACTGAGAGACACGAGAATGCTGACCAGCATCAGGATCTGGACGTTCACCATCCGCTCAACGGCGGTCCGCTTGATCGGGGTAGCAGTTGCGTTGCGCATCAGTTTCGTTTCATGACCCGTGAAGACGACTATACCATGAATCCACGGAGTGTTACGCAGGGTTGCTCCTCGAAGGAGAAGCTGATCTGGCGCCAACGGAAGCTCCTTTTCGCCCCCTCCGGCGTGCATTGTAAGAGTCGCTTCATAGGTGTAAAGGCTGCTGTTGGGTTGCTCGGACCGGATGCGTCCACTCAAGCGGCTCAGGTCAGCGGGACTGACCAGATGCGCGGTTTCGGGAATTGCCTGCTTGATCTTTAGATTGGTCTCCCCGTCCAGGTTGGCAGTCTCGATGTAGCAGAGGCCTTCGGGCTCGGAAGAGGCCAGAAGAACCAAGTCGGCCGGAAAGGGCTGCTCGGACTCGACACGGACGATGTCGCCGACGGCCACATCGATCCATTTCGTTTCATGGAAAGCCGACCCCTTCAGAACCTGGGCTTTTGAGTGGTTGAGCGTCTTGTCCGAGTTTCTTCGCTTGAAATCTTCCACCAGCTCCTTGATGGCAGAAACCAAAAACACAATGAACAGTGGCACAATAGTGGTGTAACGATTCGTCGGGGACACACTGGGGATCTGCTGGAGCACGGCGGTGAACAAGAAAAACAGGTTGGCGTATTTCGAGAACTGCTCGAATAGGAACTTCGGGATGAAGGTGACGATGTTGTATTTGGCCGTGGACACATGATTGTCGACGAATTTGTGAGCAGCATTGGCAGGAGGGTTGTTGAGCGTAATCATACGCGGACCAAGCGTTGATGGGTCGACCTTTCCGCGCCCAAAGCCGAACTTGAAGTCCGACTTCCTGGACTTTTTCTGGGCCCTAGGCGCAGCCGTCTCGTCGCCTTCAACGCTTTCCACCCGTGCGGCTCTGGCCCCGGCCTCCGTCAGCGGGAGATCCATCTCCGAGTACTCAGGCCCCATTCCAAGCATGTGCTTCGCTCTCCCCATCAGGCCGCCTCCCAAACCTAAAATACTATTCCTGTCCTTCGCCTGCCGTACGCGATGGGGCGACGCCATATGGTTGTCGTCATCCATATTATAGTAGCCGTGCATATCCCGGTCATCGTCAAACTCGTCGACCGAATACCGCTGGTAGTTGCTCAAGCCGGATGTTTGCGAATAGGTTCGAGACGCCTCCGCTCCGGAGTAAGGATCGCTGAGATATGCCCCCGGTTGGGCCGGAGGATGCGCAGAAGTCGATGCATGGGCACCAGCAGCTGGCGGTGCCCGCCCGCCAACAAAATTATCGTAGGAGACTGAGGGACGCGGATGAGGCTGATCGGAATCGTCAATGTTGTACTGTCGCAACAGGTTGTCGTCGTTGACCGGCGGGCGCCGCCCCGTACTGTATATGGGAGTCGATTCCTCCATCTGCATCAGGTCCTCATCGCGGCCAGCGGCTGGATGGAGACCTGGAGGCCTACCGCTGGCCATGATGCTTGGTGCGGGCAAACTCCGTCACAGAGATGTTGTGTCCCTGAAGCATTGCCCGACGACTCGGGGAAGAGAGAGTGGGGAGTGGCTGGGTAATTTGGTTGACAACAACGGCCACGAGGTTGCGCAAGGGGGGTTGATCGGATTGAAAGGGAGAACCGATCGGATGAGGCAGATTGTGAAGAGCGGGAAGATGCGAATAAGGACAGCAAGTAGAAAATGGTAGACTATTCTTGAATGCGTGGAGGTGTTTTGGGGATGGGCGGCGAAACGACGTTGGCTGGTTGGCTGTTGCGGATTCCGCTGGGCGGTGCTGACACTCGGCCTTGGTTCAGCAGTTTCTTAGTAGTACGGTAAGTTAGTTAGCTGGCTTTATAAATAGTCAACAACAGAGACACGGGAGTCGATGTTGCTGAAAGCTAAGAAGTTTAATAGAGAGGTCATCAAGGATTCGAATTGGTTGAGACATTCATTCCCCTGAGGATCGTTTGTTTTTATTTTATTTTGTTTCCCTTTTTTCTCTTTTCCTCCTCCAGCAGCTGTTTTGTTCCTGCGCCA